GACATCCAGGAAATGGGCGACATCACTCCCAACAAAGGAGAGGAAGCTGCTTGAATGTTTCAGCTCCACCTCGTGCACTCGCCCTGGGGCTGGATATGGGAGCCCCGCCAAGGCTGCCTGACCCCTCAGTTCAGCCAGGCCACCCAACCCCCCCACCCTCGTGTATGGCCAGCTCCCCCTACTCTCTGCTGATCCAAAGCCAAACCCTTCTAGCCTCCATCAGCAGACCTGCCTGCTAGACGGCATCATCTGAGAGCTCCACCAGCACCCCTGAGTCCTGTTGGATGGGACATCTTCCCCCACATCCCATGTGGGATGATAGGAGTCTATGCCTTTAATCCTGGGTCCAGGCCTGGCCCTCCCTCTCAGAGCCCCAGCTTCCATCTCGTATGGAGGCAGAACAGGTCAGGTCTGGCTGTATGGGTCACCTCAAAGAGTGGTTTCACCCCTGATGCTCTGGAATTCTGAGTCTAAGCATCTTTCCTGCCTGGACAAGGAGGAAGGGGTGTTGTAGGTGGCACCTGGGGCCCCAGGAAGGGGAGGAAGATCTCCAGGGAGCAGAGCTGTCACTGAGGGTGGGACAAAGCAGCTGGGTGGAGTGGAAATCAAGGATAGTCTTTCTACGGGGCTCTGGGATCAGACGGGCCTGGGTTCTAATGCCAGTTCTGCTACTTCCTGGTGGTATGACTTTTGAGTCAGTCACTCCACCTCTCTGAGCCTTTGTTGCCTCACCCGTGAAATGCACACAGCAAAACCTACTCTGTAGAGTGGTTGCAAGAATTAAATGGGGTCACAGGCATACAAGGGGGACCACAGGGCACCAGGCAAGTGCATGATGCCGTTCCCCTCACTTTGATGACTTCTCTGGCAGGCGTTGGAGTGAGATGGAGAAACAGACTCTGCAGCAGCCTAATTAGGAAACTCAAGGCTCTGGTGGAGCTGGGAGAACAAAGACACTGTTCTGTTGCCCAACCTTACAGAGGGTGTGTGAAGCCAGGCCCTTCAGTTGGCAGGGGAGGTCCATACCTGGCATTTGACAAACTCATAGGTTGGTGTCGCCCAGGGTGGTAATGCCGCTTGAACTTGTCTTGCTATAGAATAGAAACCACAGCCTGTATGAGTGAGTGCCCTTGGGGGTCATCTGGTTTACCTTACAATCGAGAGTCAGGAGATGACAAGTGCCTCCCTCTCCCCCAAGATCACAGAGACAGTCGAGGCTGGACCCCAGGCTTCCCACGTCAGGGTTCTGCCCCCTGAGATTGGAGTGACAGTGAAAGTGTTAGTTGATCAGTTGTGTCTGACTCTTTGCGACCCCATGGATTGTAGCTGGCCAGGCTCCTCTGATCATGGGATTCTCCAGGCAAGAATAGTGGAGTGGGTTGCCATGCCTTCCTCCAGGGGATCGTCTCAACCAGGAATTGAACCCGTGTCTCATGTTTACCTGCATTGGCAAGTGGGTGCTTTACCATTAGCACCACCTGGGAAGCCCCTCCCATGTAGTGGCTTCCTGGAGACCAAAATCCCAGTCCCTGCTTTCAGTTCAAGGGAGCCCTCTCTCAAATACTCTCTGTCCCATCCTGACAGCTCTGTCACACTGAGGGCGGGGGAGGGGAGGACAGAAGAAGATGGGGGGAGCAGTTAGGAGCCCCCCTGCCCAGCCTCCCATTATAGGGAACAAATCTCCAGGAAGCCCAGCGGGTGGCCAGGTCCCAGCGCTGATTGCAGATGGCACAAGGACTCGCTGGTTGCCATGGCGACTTCCTGAATCGCATGGCCTGTTCCTGCTGAGGCTCTGGGAAGTGGAGACATACCTGGGCAGCCCCTGCGCCCAGCTGGGCCTCTCTGAAGGGGAAGACGCCTGGGCATGTGGCACGCTGGCACACATAGAATCTGAACAACATATTTGATGTTCTTTTCTTGGTACCAAAAAAAAAGACAAGAGTTGGAGCAAGCCTGGCGTGCTGCAGTCCGTGGGGGTCACAAAGAGTCGGACATTGAGCGACTGAACACCAACCACCTTGAAAACCAGGGTGTACCCCACACTGGCAGCCCACCTCCATTTGGACTAGTCACGTGTCAAGAGCTCAGAAGGCACACGTGGCCAGTGGCTACTGCCTTGGACAGTACAGCTCTAGACCCCGGAGCCCACACACCAGAAGTGAGTTTCTGGGTGGGGGGTGCTGAGTGTGTAGAGGCACTCAGGGATACCGCCTGATGGGGGCTGGGACAGGGAGAAGGGAACTATAAGGGTCAACGCCCAGGCTTCTTCCGTTGCTCTCTTTGAGTTCAGCCCTTCTCATTCACTGGCTCGGGTGACAGAATTTTATTGAGCACTTACTATGTGTGAGGCTCTGGGCTAGGTATGAGTGAGACGGCCATGGGGTAGTAATGGAGGAACTCCCTGAGCCCCTTCCCCTGAGCCCATGTCACATGGGTCACCTGGATGCAAATCATAGGTGCAAATAAAGCCCCCAGGATGGAGGAGGTGGAGGTACAGGTAGGATCTACAGATGGTCTTCCCCAAGGAGACCCAGGCCTTTGGGCGCTACACCTCCCTGGAGAGGTGCTTCGTTCCCCTGTTCCTCAACCCCTCTCCCCCCACCACCTAAGCTCTGATGCCCTGAGCCTTGGAGCCACTCTTTCCTGATGAACCTCCATTTAGGCCTCCTTCTTACTGGGTCCTACTCCCCAGCAACCCTGTCAAAGGGACAGTGACTGGTGTCCACTGCTGACCTGCTGGCTGCCGAGGCTGGGCTGGGGTCAGCCTGATGTCTGCAGTCTGAAGGAAGGCCCATCTCTCCCCTGGCAGCAGAAAGGTGGGAGCAGGGGCAAGGGAAGCACTATTTTTACTGGGTTCAAGTCTGGACTCCAGTTGTACCAGCTGGTGACCTTGGGGAAGAGGCTTTGGCCCTCGAGTCTCTTTGGGTTTTGCCTCCATAAATGAGCAAAGTAGTCTGTTCTCCAGCATAAAGCCACACAATGGCTCTGAAAACACATGGTCTCAAAGAAGTGTCACACAGGGACTTCCCTGTTCGTGCAGTGGTTAAGTAGTTATCGGCCACTTCCAATACAGGGGTTTGATCCCCAGTTGGGGAACTAAGATCCCATGGGCCGCAGTGTAGACAAAAAAAAAAAAGAATGGGTCACGCAGGTCTTGGAAAGGGACCGTTTTTCAAGAAAGACCAACTTGTTTGGGTTTTGCTTAGCAACCCTGACTGAGTTGCCTCCAGCAGGTGGGTACTTGGCAAGGGCTCCTCACGAGTGAAAGCTCTGAAACATGTCTGGAGTAGGGACTTGGGGAGATGAATCTGGCCCAAGGGGAGGGTCTCTTCCTTTGCGCTCTCTTCACCCTGTCAATACCGAGCACCATGGGGCACGGGGATTCGGAGGAGGTTAAATAGCTCTTCTTTACAGAGGGGGAAACCGAGGTCTCCCAGCCAGGAAGCCACAGGGCTGGATGTTACCCCTTGGCCTTCTCATTCAAAGCCATTCCCTCTGGCCACTGCCCAGCACGTCGAGGTGCCCACTGGCTGTTCCGGGAGCCGCTCACGGCAGCAGCTTCACGGAGAGCCTGGGTCCCCCAGGGCTGGGGTCAGCCCTGCAACTAGACACGCAGGCGGCAGGGGCAGGGAGGCTGGGAGGGAGGGCGCGGCCGGATCCACAGGTTGAAGCCTGTTCCTCGGGGCTTCCGGACTTCGTGCCTTCCCCGCAGCCCCTTCCCCGGCCGCCTCCCTTCCTGGCCTGGTCCTGGGGGTGACCGGTGGGTGGGGAGGGGTATCCGGGCTGCTGTGAAGAGTGTCTGCACAGACTGATGGCCTGTCAGCTGGCTGCTGGGACATCCTCAGAGCCTTCGTGTGCAGAGGGGTGGGTGTGGGGCGCTGCAGAAGAGGAGGGGGTGGGGTGGCGAGCAGGGGGTGGGGGGGGGAGTGGGGCATCTCTGTGGCCTGCTGTCCAGTCCTGGGTCTCTGTTACCCCATCAGTGCAATGGGTCTGTCCAGCTCTGACATGCTGTCATCTCTGTAAATCTCTTTGGGGTTGCAAAGAGTCGGACAGGTCTTAGTGACTGAACAACAACAGTGTGAAGCTGAGCTGATGAGAGCATTTGGATCTGAAATTCTGGAGGCCCTGGGGTTCTCCTGATGGACGGGGGCCGAGTCCCAGTACTGTCTGAAGGAGGCAATAAGGGCTGGACAGGTGAACCCCTCCAAGCTACAGGGCCTGTGCAGAGGGCAAGTGCTGCCCTCTCTCTGGTCTGTGCAGGGGAAGTGAAGGCGATGAAGGGCCCGTCAGGGAGGGCGGAAGTTGTCCTCTGTCCTGAAAGAAACAGCACCTGCCCCATGCCTGAGTCACACCCGCGCACACACACACAATCCTTCTGCATCATGGCTCCAGAGGGCCCACAGCCACAAACAGACACACACCCAGAGTCACACAGACCCACACCTACACGGCCACATGGCCACACTCAGCCTCTGTCCCTTAGCCTCGGCGGGCAGCCACACTCAGCTCCGTGATCTCACAGGGAACCAAGCAACCACACACACACACACACACACACACACACACACACGCATGCATGATCACAGCCTGCCGCACTCAGCAGGTGTATCTGCAGATGGACGGGTGCACACGCACACACAACCACACAGGCGCAGAGCTGACTTGCACAGTCTCGGGTGACCTGGGGGGTGGCCAGCTCCTTGGAGACCCACTTTTCACAGACACACACAACGCGACAGGAACCCGCTCTGGGTGGGGCCTGGGACGATGAGGAGCCCTCTGTGGGACCCAGATCCCCTCTTTTAAAAAAGGAGCTCCATGGCCCCTCCCCCATTCTCCGGCACCCCCAGCCCCAGCATCCAAAGCACCAGGCATCCTTTCTCTCAGCGGATACCCGGATACCCGTCTTGCTGAGCGAGGGGGTACAGTTAGCGCCTCCCTCAGGGGAGCAAGCAGAGGCTATGAGGAGGAGCCCGACAGTCCAAGGTCAAAGCCAGGAGATGGCAGAGGCACGATTCGAACCCGGGGCTCTGGGCTCCCCAAGCCCGCGCTCTCCTCCGCCGCCCGCTCCTCAATCCTCTCGGCCTGGGACCCTGCCGCGGGCTCCGTGTCCCCCCAACTCCAGCACCCAAGGGCCGCCGGGCTCAAAGCCCCGCAGCGCCGCTCGAGGGGGCGCGCGTGGGAGCGCGCGCGGGGGCCCGCGCCTCCGGCCAAGATGTTCCCTCTCGGCGTGATTGACAGGCTCGAGTGCCGAGAAACAAAATTGTTTATGCGCTAATGAATAAGGCCCTGATTGCAAGATCCTGTTTGGAAAATTATAGTGCGGCGGCGGCGGCGGCGGCGGCCACGGCGGCCCAATTACAGCCCGCGCTGCATATTCATTTCGTGTCTCCTTTGCATCGAGATGAACGGGCGGCCCCGCGCCCTGCAAAGGCAGCGCCAAATTTAGTCCCAGGTTCCGCACTCCTCCGCGCCATTGTCTGCCCCGACCACCTGCCTCCTGCCGGCCTGATTGCCGGCCACGCGCCCGCCCCGGAGGCGCGAGGAGGGAGGCCCAGAAAGTTCGCCCAGCCACCCCCAGCCTCGCACCCCTCTCTTCGTCCTCTCCCTACGTCCCTCGCGCTCCCCATCTCTCACTCTCTCCTTTTCTCCCTTCCTGTCTATTCTCTCCCCCGGATTCTCTGCCTCTTCCCTCTCTTCCTTCTCTGCCTGTCCGACACATATTCTTGGATTCTAAGTCTCTAACTCCGTGTGCGAATCTCATGGACTCTTTTCAGCCCTGTCGCCCCTCCCCTTCAGTTGCAGAAATCCCCTGGGTTCCGGGTCCTTAGGAACAGTGGAGGCCCTGGAGGCAGGAGGAGCAGCCCACTCGGCCTTGGCTTTGAGGATGGGGTGGCTTGGCCGTCTCCCAAGCCAGGTGCCTGAGGATAGGTACCTCGTGTGCTGTATCTTCGGTCTCCCCGGAGCATCACCTGCACACAACCCGCAGTGAGGGCACCTGGCCTGGTCATGCTCTGCACTCACACCTCAGTGCTGCCTTCCTGTCTGACTCTTTGCGACCCAAGGGACTGTAGGCCGCCAGGCTCCTCTGTCGGTGGCGTTCTCCAGGTGAGAATACTGGGGTGGGTTGCCATGCCCTCCTCCAGGGAATCTTCCTGACCCAGGGATGGAACGGGGGCCTCCTGCATTGCAGGGAGATTCTTTACCATCTGAGCCACCAGGCAAGCCCCAGTGCCTTTGCATATGCTGCTCTCTTGCTTGCTCTCCCTCTTGTCCTCCAAGACTCATCTCAAGTATGGTCCTAAGAAGCTGCCTTCTCATCACCATAGGCAACAGGACAGCTCCCTCCCCAGGCACCCTCATTTCCAGGCCTGTCCCTCTGTTATAGCCATGGGCAGAGTTACACCTGCGTCCTTCTCCGGGGGCCTGACCTCTGAAGCCAGAGGGACAAGGGTTGAGGCTTCCTGGTGCCCTAGAGGGTAGCTCAGGGCTGACACTGACCAGACTAACAGATCTTTTCTGTAATATGGGTGTATAGTGGGCAAATGTAGAGGCTGGGAGGGAGGGCCTGGGGGCTCCAAGCCCACGTGGACCCCACAGGTCACGATCTGCTCTGTCTCAAAGCCCTGGACCTCCAGTCAGCATCAGGCCTGTTTACCCCTTCTCACTGACTAGGGTCATTGCCCCAGTCTGATAAGTGCCTGAGGCTCAGGTGTGGCAGTGAGTCTCGTGATGATGGTGATGGTGGCAGGGGTCTTTGCAGATGGTGAGGACCGCATGGGGTGAGGCTGTGCTCCCCTTGTCTGTTCCTGGGGTTCCCTGAGTGACCAACATACTCTTTGATGAGGTGGGAACTGGGGGACTAAGATGTGAGCAAAAATGGACAACCGCATACAAACTGGCCTGGATAAATAACCTCATTGAACACACACAAAGTAACACACACACACACACACACACACACTCCCTGAAAAACCCACACCATCTGAGACACAAAGACAGACTGGTCCCAGGGGCTGTGCGTGGGGCAGCAGTGCCCTCTGGAGGCCCTTACGATCGCGTCTCTGTAAGACCCAGACTGACTTTCTAGAGCCACAGCCGAGCTGTTCTAGAGGTCACCCAGACCCAAGGAACTGGGGCTCCGAGGGAGGAAGAAGCATTTAAATGCCCCTGAGGATGAGGGTTTGTTCAGCTCCAGTTCCCTGCTCCTGTCTCCATGTACTCCAGGAGCAGAACTTGCTAACACAGGACCCATCCAGCAAGGTGAAGAGTAAGGGAGCTCCCCATCACGGGAGGTGTACAAGCTGAGCTAGAGCCCCCTGAAGACTGGTGACCCGATGGCGGCCTTAAGTGGCAGAATGGACCACTTTGGAAGACATCACCAGCTTGGGATGATATGTCCAGGCTTTTCCGACCCCCACCCAGTCCAGACACCCTCCTGTTCCAGTTATTCAGTAGCTATTAAACTTTGAGAACCTCTCAGCACCCAGAGCAGCTATGTGAGATCATGGATGATGAGAGATGAGGTCACAGGGGTGGCAAGACCACATCTTGGGGAGCTTCAAGGCCAGTTTTGAGAGCATTAGAGGTATCAGTGCTTTGTTTGGGGGCACCAGGGATCCAGGGACAGGCTCAGACAAGGAAGCAACATGATCAGATGGGCATGTGAGAACCAGCTAATGAGACGAAGCTGGGGTGGGAAAGCCAGCTGGTAGGCACAATGGTGGTCTGGACCGGGGCAGGGGCAGCTGTGGGGTGGCGAGAAGGATGAAGCTGCCAGAGCTGATAAGGAGATTGGGCCTGCAGGTTTTGGTGAGGGATTGGCTGTGGTGGGAGGGAACCGGAGGAAGTGAGCATGACGGTGGAATCACCTTGGGGGACATCAGCGCTGGTTGAGGGGTTGGGGGAGAGACGATGAGAATGGTTTGGATCTGGTGAGCCTGAGAGCCTGGGGACATTTAAGTGAGAAGCCCGGGAGGCAGTTGGAATCTGCCACGTCTGGTGACATCCTGGCAGCTGGAAGGTTGTTGACAGGTGGTTGAAAGTAACAAATAGATGAGGTCACTCAGATGGGACCTTCGTCCTATCTCCGTTAGTCAAAAAGAAGGATGCTAAATTGTAAAACATAGCACTTACAGGTATTATAAAAATTTCATCATCACCAAATGGATGCGTTCACAGAAACAGGCATTTTCCTCCTGGTCTTCCTTTTGGGGGCTGCTGGTCCGATGGCACCCTGAGGCTGTCTACCTACCTGCCCGTCTGCTGGGTGGTCCAGCTCCAAGTCCAGGTAAGAGATGCGAGGTCAGAGGCTCAGGGGCAGAGGGGGAGCAAGAGGCCCCCTCCCTAAATCCAAGAGGGAACAGTTGGGGAGGTGGGAAGAAAACCAGGAGAGCCTCTCTCCATCAGGGCCAAGGAGGCAGAATTCAAGAAAGAGCGTGTGATCAGAGGAGGCAAAGAGGTGAGGACTGAGGACGTGCCCCAGACGTGGCAATGGGGCTTTCACATGGGCTCTGTTGCAACCCCTCACTCAGCAACAAGGCCCCCTCTAGGGGGTCCCTGCCCAAGGGAGCCAGCCTGGCATGGGGAAACAGGGGTGCCCTTTGACCTCAAGTCTTCTCCAGACTGAGAAACAGAGTGTAGATGGTGTCCCAGGGTGGGGTTTGACAGGAGCTGGCCTGGGAGAAAGAAAAGCAGACCAATACATCGGTGGACCCAATGCAGGCGAGGAGCTGAGCGGCTGAGCAACTGGATGCAGTCCCTCCTCTGACCACGAGGGAGCAGCATGAGATCAGGTCACTCCTTGGCCCAGCGTTCGGCATTAAGGACTATATTTCCCAGATCCTGCAGGGCGATCTGGAGCTCCCCGGGTCTCGGTTTCTTTCCCTGCAAAATGGGGCAGTTGGGCATTATTGGAATGTGAACAGGGATGCAGAGTTCCAAGCCACAAGTGTGCAAATAGGCAGGAGTGTGGGCTTCCTGTCTCAATGCATGAGCAGGCCACTATATCAGTGCTTAGCTGGACCTCAAGGAGCTGACCTCAGGGGCCATGGCCAGTCAGGCCTGAGTCAGTAGGATGGTACCCACCCACCCTGCTCATCTGCCCACTAGCTACTGTCACCCATGCCTCAGTCTTCTGCATCTGCTGCTGTGCCCCATAGATAGGAGAGAGGCAGGTGCTGGGAGAGGCTCAGGTGGGAAGAGGGTTGTGAACTCCACGCTCTTCAGACCAGAAGTACCTCCTTATCCCTATGCCTATACGCCACCCACCTGTAAGCAGCCTCCCAGCTGCACCTACACACCTGCCTTGAGTACCTTGAGGCAGTTGAAGCCAACAGCTTGTCTGGGCCCTCCAGGATCTAGAACCCCCTGGAGCCTGGGAGCAGTGCTGGTCTTGTTGGTGATGGTGATGCTGGAGTTGTGTGTGTTTGAACATCCATGGCATGTCGCTGGTTCAGTCTGCCACGTGCAGTGGGTGCTGGTGAGGGCTGGCAGGCTCTGTACAGACAGAATAGACTGTGTACACCGATGTGGGGGCAGGCATCAGGAGCACAGCCCTTCAGGCTGAGACAAGCGTAAACAGCGGGGCTACAGGAGTGCAGACACACATACACAGGCCTAGATCAGCAAACACGAAACTGTGGACATTGGTAGGTCTGTATAGACCTAGGGGAGGGAGCTTTATCTTTTTCTTGGAAGCCATGATGATGGAGGGTGTCTTGAGGAACATCTTGGGTGATATAGTCAAACGTTTCCAGGTCCAGGGAGTCATGGCACACATAGAAAATTCTGGAGAATGGGAAGATGCAAAGCATGAGCTACACCTGGCAGCCACCAGGCCAGTCAGGAGCTGAGCCCAAGCAGGTCAGGGGCTGAGGCTGAGCTGAGGCGTCTCTGGACCTGAGGATGGGATCATGCAGCCTTAGGGCCGAGCTCTCATCCTTTGGCAGCTCTGGCCTCTACTGAGAGACGGGAGATGGGGGAAGGGCCAGGCCATGCTCTGGGCTAAGAGTTGTGAGGTCCCAGCCTCCCATGTAGGAAATGAACAGACCCAGGCCCAGCGCAGAGAGGGCAGGATCATTGGGGTACCTGAGTTCTCCATGGGAATGGGGGCTCCTCAGGACACGCGGGCAGCTGTGACCTTCTGGGAAGCTGGCCAGCCCTGCCCTGCACACGGT